ATTAGTTCGAAGTTGATATGAAGTTTTGATGATTTAACAAACTTATTAATTTAACAAGGAACCAGATCCTTGTTACTGGGACTGCTGACAGGGAAGTGAATGAATACACTCAGTGTGAGGAATATTTGTGTGTAATCATCAAAAAGGGGGAAATTGATAAGAGCTTATGCCTTTTGGTGTTTTGATGATCTCCTCACAAGTGCAGGGACCTGGTCCTCTGCAGAGTATGAATACTCGTCCAGATGTCAAAGTGTTGTACAGCTGTAAAAGCTGTCTGCGTCAGAAAGTTGGTGAAGCTGCAGAGTACTTCACCAATCAAAAGCAAGGAGGTTGCTTGTACGTTTGGTAATAATTCTTTATGGTTGATATTTTATACATGACAAACACCATAATTAATTCATTCATCCAAAGAAGGAAGTCAGCCAGCAAACCTTTCAAGAACTTATAAAGATGTTTGCAAGGGACCTGGTCCCTGCAAGACTGCGATATGGAAAGGTGAAAAGACAGCTGTCAGAAAAGCTGATACGTCAGAAAAGCTGCTACGACAGGTGCACGACTTTTCTAACAGCAGGCCTTCAGCCAATGAGATTGGCTCAAGGAGTTTGTGTTCACTTTCAATATATTATCTCTTTCCAACAAACACAAACTTAAGATTTGGCAAACAAAATTTGGATTTTCTCTCAAAATTCATAAGCTTGAAAAGAAGGCCATCTTCAAGAAAGAACATTGCTCAACTCAACAAAGGGATCTGATAGAGTGAAGAAGAGTCTTTGTTGTACTTAGAGCTTTGTGTCTCATGTGCTTACATTGTAAATCTGATCCTAATCTATAAAGGATTCAGGTCTTGTTTCGGTTTCTAAAAGTCTAAGTCATCTAGAGTTAGGTGATTTAGTGGGCAACATTGTTGTTGCTTAGTCAAAATCTAAATCGTCCATAGGGTGGTGGTTTAGTGAGCGGTGTTATATCCTCTTAGCAAAGTCTAAGTTATCTAGGGGTGATAGCTTAGTGGGTAGTGTGGTATGTGCTCTGGCTCGTCTAAGTGATAGGAGGTATTGCTTAGAGTTGGGATTAGCAAGCTAATCTCATTTTGTAAACTTGCTTTTACTTTTGCTTGGAGAAGATTAGTGAAAGAAGTTTTTGAAAAGTCCTGGCAGGCCAGGTCGTGGTTTTACTCCCTTGAGCAAGGAGGTTTCCACGTAAAGTTGCTTGTTCAATCTTTACTCTCAGCACTTATTATACTGTTTGTTATTGTAACTGTGCTGAGGACCTGGTCCCATCGAAACAAGTGGACGCATATTTTAGTTACTGTTCTTGCTGAGTGAAAGGACCTGATCCTTGACTGATAGGTGGACTCAGACATTCCAACAATAATAGATATTATGAGCTATATAGATAGTATGTTTTGGGAGTAGTACTTAGCACCGAGTGAATGATGGTTCTAGATAGCCCAAATTCCAGAACTACATGACACCATAGGATTATGTTTCACCGCTTTATCGGATGATCATTAAGCCTTGTGAGGCTCAGATTAGTGGATCCACGTTAGACAGAAAGGTTATATACCCTGGTAAGGTATAGGGCAACCTTCCCCAACTGGGATTGTAAGTTGGTGCATCATTAGCTCACATGATGTATGTCGGTTAAGAGAAACTCCCACCTAAAAGGTTTACTTTATTTATTTTATGTTTTCTTGATATTATCATTATAATATTTTCAGATAATACGATTTTCAGATATGCATCCTTCTAGATATGATTTCAGAAAATATAGTCTCAAATATACATTTGTTCTGTAATATTATGTCATATGTCACAATTTGACTCTTAGTTCTTCAGTTATTGTCTGTGCATAACTCATACTCAGATTTATAGTTCTTTCAGTTTCTTGTATAATTGTTTATCTCAGTCCTTACCTTGCATACAATACATTTCATGTATTGACGCTACTTGCGCTACATCATTTTATGATGTACATTTCCGCACCTGATTCAGATTTGCGGGAAGACATTCCACTAAGTTCCTCTACTTTCAACATTGTGGTGAGTCCCCCCTCCCCCGCCCCCTCCCCCCCACCCATTCAGGGAACTTCAATTATGAATCACTAGATTTTATTCACTTTACTTGTATGAGTTTTCAGGCAGTCCGGGGTCATGTCCTGCCAAATTATTTTATTCAGTTTAGAGGCTTTCAGACATAGTATTCAGTTGTAATGGACTTATTCTTGAACTCTATTTCAGTAATGCTTTTAGTTTATAGTTTATGCTTCAGTTTTCATATGATATGCTTAGATATGTTATGACAAGGGTTAGCTTGGGATCACTCATGGTTTCAAGTACCGTGTCTCGGCTAGGGTATATACTCGGATCGTGACATCTTCACTTTTCCCATTCAGCAATTTAAGTAACAAAAAAGTGACTGAAAATACCTCTGTCATCGAAAAGACAAAAAGAAAAATCGCAGGGAAAAAGAATTCGCTTCATCAAGCAAGAATGAATCAGAAAATTGATTCAATCCTAGAAATTTAATTGTAACATATACTTGCACTCTTATTGTACTTACTTGGACAGAAAAGATGGTTGTTTGAGCAACTTAAAAGAAGCAAGAGCTGATGAGAAACTGATGATTCTGTGACACCTTGCAATTTGAAATAGCTATGAAGAAGCTTGAAATTGGAAATAGTCATTTTTGGGAAGAATTCAAATCTGGAAATTTAGTCAAGTATGGAAAAAGTGAGTTTTTGGTCAACTTCAAACAGTCATAACTCCTAGATCAGGATGATTTATGTGTATTTCCAGTTATGTTTGCAAAGCCCTTAGAATGATCTTTCCAATACCACCAAGTTTGCTTGATTCCGAGTTTGTATGAGTGAGTTATGCCCTTTGGAAGTTGGGATGTTGGCACAGGAAAGTTCACCCGAATTTGTAAGGGTATTTTGGTCTTTTCCCTAACCATTTCTTTTGGTTATATTAAGGGTCCCAGCTGATTTTAAATCAGTATTTCCTTTTAAAAAGTGAGTGTTAGGGTTGTGAGTGAAGAGAGAAAGAAGAGGAGAAAGAGAAGGAAGCTAAGTTCGTCGAGATCGTCGTGGATTTCGTCTATGTGAGATCATAGTGTTGGGTTGGTTCATTCCCCCACACGCCAGACTCGTTTTACTTTCCGAGAAAAATATTGGTTGTGTTTGTTGAATTCTTGTGGTTGTGTTGAAGTTTCTTGTTGATTTGGTACATGTTTCCGGATGGAATTCCGAGTTGAATCTATTGTATATTAAGGGTTTTAATGATTCCAAGTGTTTGGGGAAAGAACCTTTGAAGTTATGAGGGTTTAGAGTTGGAAAAATGAAGGAGAAAAGTCGGGCAGCTTCCATGAAACCAATCCGCGTCGCGGACTTGTTCCCTCTGTGAACAAAAATCTGCTCCGCGTCGCGGACAGGACGCGGACTCCACTGTTTCAAAAATTTAATTTCGTAACTCTTCTTACGTTTAGCTGTCCTAAACATCATGAGGTCTTTCCAAACACAAATCATAATCCCTGAATCCATAATTCAATTCAAAGATCAGTTAAGAGTCAATTCAAATAAGAGTTAAGATCAAAGCCAAGAGTCTAGTAAGAGAAGTTCTTTTCAAGTTTTCATAGGTCTTTTACAAATGTTTTAACTTTGTTCTAAGACTATAGTTTCAAGTTAAGCAAAGAGTATAGAGTTGAGTTCTTTTTCTCAAGAGTTACTAGGGAACTATGTATTCCCCAAAGAAGTTTATAAATGTTTTTACATTTGAGTAAGAAATGAACTATATTTTCCAAGAGAACCTTTGGGCTAAGCTTTGAGCAATTATCTCAAACTAAAGAAAGATATGTTTAAAACACTTATGAGCTAAAGTATTTTGGGAGTAGTATTGAGCAACGAATTGGGGACGCGAGTTCATATTAACTCAACTCTCCATAAGAACCATGTATCCAAACATGGGACTTAACGAGTCATTCTTTTTAGATGATCACGTAAGATTAAGCTAGTGGATCCACTAAGTTAAGTAAGGTCCTATATCACGGCAAGGTATAGGATGGTCCTTAGGCAACGTGAGGTAAAACATTGTATCATCACTAGGGCTCATAGTGGTGGTTGTCGGTTAAATTATCTCCCACTAAAGTTATATTACTTTTATATAAGTAAAGTTGAGTTTGTTATTGCTTTATCCTTAACGAACTAAGTTGTTTACACTGTTTTACAAGATTTATATATATTGCATGTGTCTTATTGCATTATATTGAGTTCGGTTATTCATGAGTTGAACAGAGCCAAGGTAAGAGTTCTTTTGTACTCCTTTCAAGCTTAAGTTGTTGTTTAGCTTTCCAGCCCGCATACTCGTACATTCAATGTACTGATGCCAGTTGGCCTGCATCTTATGATGATGCAGACGCAGGTACCCAGGATCAGCATCCAGCACGCCGTTGATCCAACTGAGCACTCTAGAGTCAGTGGTGAGCCTCCTTTTCTTCCGGAGGACTCTGTTATTTTGTGTTCATAGTTTTGTTTTATCAGGATGTTGCAGGGTCTGTCCCAACATCCATCTCAGTGTTATAGAGGCTTCATAGACAGTCAGTCAGTCAGTTAGTATTGAGTCTCTCATCTTTGTATATATGTAAATATTCTATTTTGAGGCACGAGTTGCCTTTTGGCATGTTATGCATCAGTTAGGTTGTTTTATAACATTTCATTGCATTAAGTTATTCGGTTGAGTTAGGTTTCCGCTGAGTTAAGAAAGCCAGGCCAAGGGTTCGCTTGGGGCCAACAATGGTCTTCGAGTGCCGGTCCCGCCCAGGGTATAGGCTCGCGATGTGACAGATTCTATTTTGATGCTTTATATCTTGCTTTATGTAGAACTGTAATGAGTTTCAACATCAATAGTACACGATAAAAAGAATCTAATTCATTGTCTACTTATTATTTCTCCTAGAAACCATGGAGATTATGGAAGATTGCATTTGATGGCTCCCAAAAAATATGCTTCATTCCCCTGCATATGCAAGATAAAAAGTAGAAGTTATCATCTTAATTTGAAGGAGGTAAGACTTAACAAAGATGAGAGAATCGAAGAACTGTTTCAACTTACCGGGGCTGTTATGGATGTAGACCTTAAGGGAATTATTTCCCATGTCTTCTTGTTCTTGTACAATTTCTCTTGCAGAATCCTCAGCGGTAGCGGTGCAATCATGTAACTCAATCGATTCCAAAGTAGAAATTTCCCCAAAATCTGTTGGAATTTCTTGCAACCTGTAACACATCTTCAGAACAAGGCGTTTTAGATTTGGGAAGTTATCACTCCTCGCTTCCAACCGCTCAAGATTTAGGTGGCTCAGTAACAACAACTTCAAGCTTTTGAACTTGTCTTCATCACTCAATCTCCATTCATCATTCAAGATTCGACAAAGTTTAAGTTTGAGCTCTTCAAGATTTGGCAACATCATAACAGTTGATGATATGTCTGCCCAAACAAAATGATTACACTTGCTTAAACTCAACCTCTTAAGTGATGTTGGAAAAACAAAATGTCACGCCCCGAGCCTACACCTTGGGCGGGATCGGCACCCGAAGTCCATTTCTGGCCCCAAGAGAACCCTTGGCCTGGCTTTCTTAACTCAGTGGAAACCTCAACAGAATAACTCGATGCAATGCAATATTACAAACAACTTAACTTATAAAATATGGCCATAAAGGCAACTCGAATCTCAAAATAGAATATTTACATATATATATAGATAAGAGACTCAAAACTAACTGACTGACTGTCTATCTATGAAGCCTCTAAAATACTGAGACGAATGTTAGGATAGACCCCGCAACATCCTAATAAAACAGAACTAAGAACACAAAAATAATTGAGTCCTCCGGAATGCAAGGAGGCTCACCACTGACTCTGGAGTGCTCCGCTGGATCAACAACGCACAGGATGCTGATCCGGGGTACCTGAATCTGCATCATCAAACGATGCAGGCCAACTGGCATCAGTACATGGAATGTACGAGTATGCGAGCTGGAAAACTAAGCAACAAAGGCTAGAAGGAAAACTGGAAGGAACTGAATAGCTTACCTAGCTCAACTCAACTCAACCTGACTGACTTCTTTCAATATAAGGCAATTTAAAACAAGTGCGATATAAAGAAAGACTGTTTAAAACATGCTATGAACTCTGTGTGTATACAAAGATACGATAAGCCTGAAATGTATATAGAAATACAATGAACTGATGTATATAAAAATACAATAATCTCTGTGTATGAAAATACAATAACTGCTGTGGGAGCTTCTCTAACCGACAACCATCACATAAGAGCTATAGTGATGATACAGCATCGACCTCACGCTGCCAGAGCATCTTATACCCGGCCAAAGGTATAAGACCTGAACTGCCTAATGGATCCACTAGTCTAATATGAAAAGGATTCATCTAAAAAGTATGATCATTTTCTACCCATGGTGGCTAACATGGTTCTATGGGGGCTGTGGGTTCTTTGAACGCTCCCCCAATTCGGTGCTCGATACTACTCCCAAAAATGTACTGGCTCTTATGTTTTTAAAACATATTTATTCCTGCTGATATGAGATAATTACTCAAAAACTAGCCCGAAGGCTTTTTTTGGAAATCCCAGCTTCCAACCTTGTTTAAATGTAAAGACATTTCTTTAAAACTTCTTTGGGAATACATAGTTCCCTAATAACTTTGAGAAATGAACTCAACTTTAAACTCTTGACTCTTTACTCTTTTACTTGACTTCTAACGTCACTTGACTTGGAACTATCTTTCCTTGAATCGAAATTATGAATTCAAGGTGTTCGATCACATGTTATGGAGGGATTCTTGAAGCTTAGACGTACTTTGGAGTGTCGGAAACAACTATAAAACATAGGTATAATACTTTGGAGCATGCATGAGAAAGTGGGAAAGAAATTGGGGAAACTTGGCTGAGACTTCAGATTTCTGGTGACACAGATGGCACTTACGGACGCCATCGACGGACCGTAGATAGACTCACGGTCCGTCCTGCAGGTCCGTAGATCGCGTCAGAAACTTTCCCTGAATTCATTAAAAAAAAAAGACTAAGTGTTGATCCACGGTCCGTAGGTCGGGTTACGGACCGTGGGTCGTGCCCGTAGATCGATGCCCCAAAAACCCAACTTCTGTCCTGTTTGACGGTTGGCCAGTACGGACCGTCAATCGATCTACGGTCCGTAGGACACGTCCGTAAATGGGGATCGACAGCCAAAACTTGCTGAGAATTGATGGTGAATCAACTTTAAAAGAGTCATAACTCTTAGAATCGTAACTCCCTCAACATACCATAGGTTTCAACTTAAATACACAACCCAATCATGTCTCACAACGAACAATAACTTCAACAACACCACCAACAACATCAACAACAACTAACAACTTCAACACTTCAACAACAAATTCCAATCCTTTCTCAAATCATAGAATAAACTTAGTGTGTGTGAGGGAAAGGATCAACCCACACGAAAACTCACATACCTTGATAGGGATCACCCTCGACGAAAATCCACAATGATCTTGACAATTCTTGTTGATCTCCTCTTTCTTCTCTTCTTCTTCTTCTCCTTTTTCTCTTCTTCACTCTCAAGAACTCTAACTCCTTCTCTTAAAAAAAAATGGGACAAAAAGATCCAAAGATCAGCCTAATACAACAATGTAATCTCAAAGAAATAATTTGTGAAAAGACTAAAATGCCCTTAAATTTCCGGACGGATTTCCCTTCCAACTGCCCAACTTCTAAAGGGCATAACTCCCTCATACGAACTCGGAATCGAGCAAACTCGGTGGCGTTGGAAAGATCATTCCACAAGCTTTGAAACCATAGCTGGAACTACTCCTAAATCATCCTGAGCTAGGAGTTACGACTGCTCAAAGTTGGCCAAAAATCACTGATTTCCACACTTAGCCAAATTTCCAGATTATTTTTTTCAAAAATGACATTTTTTCCAAATTTCAAGCTTCCTCAAAGCCATTTCAAATTGTCAGATGTTACAATATCTCCCCCTTGGGAACATTCGTCCTCGAATGAGGTTACTCTTACAAAGCTAAGGGTGTAACATCAATTCAAACACCCAACAAGCCACTATGCAAACACAACAACAACAACATGCTCATTATAATTAAAAGAGCACTAAGAAGGAAATTAATACCTTAATCTGCATTTACTCCGGATTCAAAGAGATGTGGATATCTCTTCTTCATGTCCTCTTCGGCTTCCCAAGTAGCTCCCTCAACAAATTGGTTCCTCCATAGGACCTTTATTGAGGCTACATCTTTTGTTCTCAACCTACGAACTTGACGATCCAAAATTTGAACAGGAACCTCCTCATAAGATAAGTTATCATTGATCTTTATATTTTCAGTCGATAGGATCAATGAAGGATCGCCTATGCACTTCTTCAACATGGAGATGTGAAATACCGGATGAACTGCTGCTAGTTCCTGTGGTAACTCCAACTCATAAGCAACATTGTCAATCCTCTTGGCTATGCGGTAAGGTCCAATATACCGGGGACTAAGTTTCCCCTTCTTACCAAACCTCATAACACCTTTCATGGGTGAAACCTTCAAATATACCCAATCGTCTATTTCAAATTCTAACGCCCTTCTCCTAACATCGGTGTAGGATTTCTGACGACTCTGTGCTGTTTTCAACCTCTCTTGAATCACTTTCACCTTCTCCATAGCTTGGTGAACTAAATCTGGTCCTATCAACTGTGCTTCACCAACTTCAAACCATCCAATAGGAGATCTACATCTTCTCCCATAAAGAGCTTCATATGGAGCCATCTGGATGCTAGAGTGATAACTGTTGTTGTAGGCAAACTCAATGAGAGGTAGGTGATCATCCCAACTCCCTTTGAAATCGATTACACAAGCCCTCAACATATCCTCTAAGGTCTGAATAGTGCGCTCTGCTTGCCCATCCGTCTGAGGGTGAAAGGCAGTACTTAAGTTCACCTTTGAACCCAAGCCCTTCTGAAAAGATTTCCAGAACTGTGCAGTAAACTGTGCACCTCTATCTGAAATAATAGAGATTGGGACTCCATGAAGTCTCACTATCTCTTGAACATACAACTTGGCATAATCTTCTGCTGTATTGGTAGTCTTTACCGGTAGAAAATGAGCTGACTTTGTCATTCTGTCGACAATCACCCAAATAGAATCATGTTGTCTGCGAGATCTTGGCAACCCTGTGATGAAATCCATATTGATCATCTCCCACTTCCACTCTGGAAGTTCTATCCTCTGAGCCAAACCACCGAGCCTTTGGTGTTCAACTTTCACTTGTTGGCAATTTGGACACTTAGCAACAAACTCAGCAATGCCCTTCTTCATGCCATTCCACCAATAAACTTCTCGCAAATCGCGATACATCTTGGTGGAACCTGGATGAACGGAATATCTGGAGCTATGAGCTTCCTCCATAATCTTCTCTTGGAGTCCATCTACCATAGGTACACACAATCTACCTTGATATCTCAATGCACCATCTCCCCCTTGTTCAAAAGTTAATATTCTTTGCTTCTGAACATTTTCCTTCAACTCAAGCAAAATGGGATCTTGATATTGCTTCTTTTTCACTTCTAACACTAATGATGACTCGGCCCTATTCGCCATCGCTATTCCTCCTTTTGCGGAATCTGTAAACCTGACTCCCAGGCATGCCAGTCTGTGCACATCTTTTGCTAACTCTCTCCTTCCTTCTTCAATATGGGCGATGCTACCCATAAACAACCTGCTTAAAGAATCAGCAACAACGTTAGCCTTACCTGGGTGGTAAAGAATACTAAGGTCATAGTCCTTGAGTAATTCTAACCACCTCCTCTGTCTGAGATTAAGCTCTTTCTGAGTAAGCACATATTGAAGGCTCTTGTGATCAGTGAATATGTCGACATGCACACCATACAAGTAATGACGCCATATCTTCAAAGCAAATACTACATCAGCTAGCTCTAAGTCATGGGTTGGGTAGTTCTTCTCATGAACCTTCAACTGTCTGGAGGCATACGCAATAACCTTGCCATTCTGCATTAAGACACAACCCAAACCAACTCTAGATGCATCACAATACACCACAAAACCTTGAGTACCTTCTGGTAGCGTCAAAACTGGAGCAGTAATCAACCTCTTTTTCAATTCCTGAAAGCTTTTCTCACAAGCTTCAGACCATTAAAATTTCACTGTCTTCTGAGTCAACTTTGTCAAAGGAGATGCAATAGTCGAGAACCCTTCAACAAACCTTCTATAATAGCCAGCCAAACCCAAGAAACTCCTAATTTCAGTTGGAGATGTGGGTCTAGGCCAATTCTGCACTGCCTCAATTTTCTGAGTATCAACTTTAATTCCATCACCGGACACAATGTGGCCTAGGAACGCCACAGACTTAAGCCAAAACTCACACTTAGAGAAATTGGCATACAACTCCTTGTCTTTCAAAGTCTGAAGAACTATTCTGAGATGACTAGCATGATCTTCTTCATTCCTTGAATAGACTAGTATATCATCAATAAAGACAATAACAAACATATCTAAATAAGGTTTGAAGACTCTATTCATCAAATCCATGAAAGCTGCAGGCGCATTAGTCAAACCAAAGGACATGACCAAAAACTCATAATGACCATACATGGTTCTGAAAGCTGTCTTTGGGATATCACATTCCCTTACCCTTAACTGATGATAGCCTGATCGGAGGTCAATCTTTGAAAAACAAGTGGCACCATGAAGCTGATCGAAAAGATCATCAATCCTCGGAAGAGGGTACTTGTTCTTGATGGTAACCTTGTTCAATTGGTGGTAGTCTATACACATTCTAAGGGAACCATCTTTCTTTCTCACAAACAAGACCGGAGCGCCCCAAGCCGAGACACTTGCTCGAATGAAACCCTTTTCTAGGAGATATTTCAACTGCTCTTTCAACTCTTTCAACTCTGCTGGTGCCATTCTATATGGCGGAATAGAGATAGGACGAGTATCCGGAATAAGATCTATGCCGAAATCTATTTCTCTCTCAGGAGGAATTCCGGGTAGATCATCAGGAAAAACTTCTGGAAACTCTTTTACTATAGGAACTGACTGGAAATGAGGTGTCTCAACACTAGAGTCATGAACTCGGACTAAGTGATAGATACAGCCCTTCGAAACTAACTTTCGTGCCTTAAGGTACGAAATAAAACGACCCTTAGGCACTATTGAACTGCTACTCCACTCTATGATTGGCTCATTCGGAAACTGAAACTTGACGGCTCGAGTTCTACAATCTAATGATGCATAACAGGCATGAAGCCAATCCATACCTAGAATGACATCAAAATCTACCATGTCTAGCTCAACCAAATCAGCCTTGGTGTTCTTGTGACTGATAAAAACAGGACAATCACGATAGACTCTTTCTGCTAGAATAGATTCCCCAACAGGTGTAGAAACACAAAAGGGTTCACAAAGTCTTTCAGGAAGAACCTCAAACTGATTTGCAACATAAGGAGTTACAAACGATAAACTTGCTCCTGGGTCTAGCAAAGCATATACATTAAAAGCAAAGACTTTGATCATACTAGTGACAACATTCGGGGAATTCTCTTGCTCATGGCGACTGGTGATCGCATAAAGGCGGTTTGCTCCTACACCTACACTAAAAGTAGCTCCTCTAGATGTCGTCCCGTCTGGTGGAACAACTGAAGAAGACTATGCTTTATTACCTCCATTACCCTGCCTATTCTTTGGACACTCTCGCATGAAATGCCCATTTTGACCACACTTGAAACAACCCAGGGAGCCCTCTCGACAAATACCTGAGTGGTTTCTACCACACTTGGCGCAGGCAGGAGGCTTACTACTCCCTTGCGCCACACTACCCAAAGATTGTGCTGGTCTAGCCCTGAAGTCCTTCGAATTCTGAACATTAAATTCACCTCTGTATCTGGGTGCAGGTGCTCTAGCAAATGATGGAGCAGGTCCCTGTTGCCTTTGCTGAAAGGAGGAACGGTTTGAATTACCTCTCTGCTGCCCGGACTCGCTCCCGTTCTTAGCTCTCTTATTTCTGAACTCTTCTGTAACACCCTAGAGAATTTTCGAACTAAGACTCGAGCCGTCCTTTATGTGGAGTGAGATTTTACCGAGGAATAAAATTTCTTGAGTGTTAAGTTAAGATCCCTAGATGTAGCACATTGAGTTCCAAGAAGAGTTGAATTGGAAATAGTCATTTTGGAAAGAATCTGGAAAATTTGGCTATGGAAAAAAAGTGAGTTTTTGGTCAACTTTGAGCAGTCGTAACTCCTAGCTCAGAATGATTTAGGCGAATTTCCAGTTATTTCTGGAAAGCCCTTGGAATGATCTTTCCAACGCCGCCGAGTTTGCTTGATTCTGAGTTCGTATGAGTGAGTTATGCCCTTTGGAAGTTGGGCTGTCGGCACAGTCGCACAGTGCAGTTTGTTTAGTCCGAAAATTTTAAGGGTATTTTGGTCTTTTCCCTAATAATTTCTTTGGGTTATATTGAGGTGTTAGACTGATGTTTGGATCATTTTTGTCCCATTTTAAAGAGTGAGAGTAAGAGTGAGAGTTAGGGCTTGGAAGATAAGAGAGAAAGAAGAGGAAAAGAAGAGGAGAAAGAGAAGAAGAAGCTAAGGATCGTCGTGGATTTTCATCGGGGGTGATCCCTAATCAGGTATGTGAGTCTTTAGTGTGGGTTTATCCTTCCCCCCCACATACCAAGCTCGTTTTTATGATTTGAGAAGAGATTGGATTTGTTGTTGAAGTTGTTGAAGTTGTTAGTTGTTGTTGATGTTGTTAGTTGTGTTGTTGAAGTTATTGTTGGTTGTGGGACAGGATTGGGCTGTGTATTTGAGTTGTGATCTATTGTATGTTGAGAGATTGATGATCCTTAGTGTTGGTTGGTTCATACCCCCACACACCAACTCGTTTTCAATTCCAAGAGAAGATTTATTGGTTGTTGAAGTTGTAGTGGTGTTGTGTTGAAGTTCTTGCTGATTTAGTACAGATTTCTAGCTGTGATTTTTGAGTTGAATCTATTGTATAATAAGGGTCTTTATGATTCTAAGTATTGCTGCTGAAACCTTGAGGTTGAGAGGGTTTAGAATTGGAAAGAAACAAGGGGAAAAAGAAGGATTTTTGGGGAAAAAGGGGCTGGGCTGTCGCACCTCTCCTAGTGCCAAGGACACCAATCCTTCCCTTTCATTTACCATTTTTTTCATACATGTTCCTAGGTATTATACCTATGTTTCCTAGTTGTTTCCAACACTCCAAGGTACTTCTAAAAGTCAAGAACTCATCCGTAACATGTGATCAATCCAAATTTCAAATTCAAGTGAAGTTAGTTTCCAATTCAAGTGAAGTTAGATTCCAATTCAAGTGAAGTTAGTTTCTAATTCAAGTGAAGTTAGATTCCAATTCAAGTGAAGTTAGTTTCCAATTCAAGTGAAGTTAGTTTCCAATTCAAGTGAAGTTAGATTCCAATTCAAGTGAAGTTAGTTTCCAATTCAAGTGAAGTTAGATTCCAATTCAAGTGAAGTTAGTTTCCAAGTCAAGTGAAGTTAGTTTCCAAGTCAAGTGAAGTTAGAAGTTAAGCTTAGAGAAGTTAAGTAAGTCAAAGCAAGTCTTCAAACTTTTCACGAGTCTTCATTGAACGTTTTAACTTCATTCTAAGGCTTAAGTTCCAAGTTAGTATAGAGTTCCAAGTTAAGTATAGAGTTTCAAGTCGAGTGAAAAGTATTGAGTTTCAAGTCAAGTCAAAAGTTAAGAGTTTCATGTTAAGTTAAGAATTTCACATCAAGCCAAGAGTTCAAGTAAAGTAAATAGTAAAGAGTTGAGTTCATTTTCTCAAAGTTATTAGGGAACTATGTATTCCCAAAGAAGTTTTAAAGAAATGTTTTTACATTTAAACAAGGTTGAAAACTGAGATTTCCAAAAGAGCCTTCGGGCTAGTTTTTGAGTAATTATCTCATATCAGCAGGAAAACATATGTTTTAAAAATATAAGAGCCAGTACATTTTTGGGAGTAGTATTGAGCACCGAATTGGGGGAGCGTTCAAAGAACCCACAGCCCCCATAGAACCATGTTAGCCACCATGGGTAGAAAATGATCATACTTTTTAGATGAATCCTTTTCAGATTAGACTAGTGGATCCATTAGGCAGTTCAGGTCTTATACCTTTGGCCGGGTATAAGATGCTCTGGCAGCGTGAGGTCGATCGCTGTATCATCACTATAGCTCTTATGTGATGGTTGTCGGTTAGAGAAACTCCCACAACAGTTATTGTATTTTTATACACAGAAATTATTGTATTTTATATACATCAGTTCATTTGTATTTCTATATACATCTCAGGCTTATTGTATCCTTGTATACACACAGAGTTTATAGCATGTTTTAAACAGTCTTTCTTTATATCGCACTTGTTTTAAATTACCTTATATTGAAAGAAGTCAGTCAGGTTGAGTTCAGTTATTCAAGAGTCGAGTATCCTTGAGTTAAGTATCTTTGAGTTAAGTATATATCTTGAGTTGAGTATATATCTTTGAGTTGAGTATCTGTCTTTGAGTCCAGTATCTATCTTTTGAGTTGAGTAAGTTTGAGTAGTTTTGAGTATTCCTTGAGTTGAGAAAGTTTGAAAAAGAGGTAAGTTATTCAGTTTATTCCAGTGTTTCTTCTAGCCTATGTTGTTTAGATTTCCAGCTTACATACTCGTACATTCCACGTACTGAGCCATTTGGCCTGCATCTTTTTATGATGCAGACACAGGTATTCAAGATCATCAACAGGAGATTCGTTGATACATCCGGGAGTTCCAGTTAGCTATGACAAGCCTCTTTGCTTCCGGAGGATTTCATTTACCTTTCAGTTGTATCAGTTGTTAGGAGGTCGTGGGTCTTGTCCCGGCTTCCATCTTTATCAGTTAGAGGCTTCATAGATAGACAATAGAGTTTCAAAAGTCTCTTCATTTATTTTGTTAAATGTTTTGAAGACTAAAGTTTCCTTTTATGGCGAGTTGTATATATATTCTATTATCAGAGTTTTCTTTTGAGTTAAAGATTTGTAAAGTTGAGTTTATAAACTTTTTTTTCAGTTTTAAGCTCTTGTATGCTTAAGTTAGTATTCCGCTTGGAGTCAGCCAGGATGAGGGTTCGCTTGGGGACCAGCAATGGTCTTCGAGTGCCGGCCACGTCTAGGGTGTAGTCTCGGGGCGTGACATCTTCTCTGTCCCTCAGCTTCTCTTCCTCAACCTGTTGCACATAAACCATCAACCTTGATATGTCCATGTCCCCGATAAGCATTGCCGCCCTACCTTCCTTGCTCGACAACCGAGACAGCCCAGCAACAAACAAACTCATTCAATTCCTCATGTCCGCAACCATCTCCGGAGCATAGCGGGATAGTTGTGTGAACTTCAGACTGTACTCATGAACACTCAAGGACTCCTGCTTAAGTGTGAGGAACTCACGTACCTTAGCCTCTTTCAATTCTCGAGGAAAGAAATGCCCCAAGAAAGCTTCCTCGAAATAGGCCCAACTCGCAGGTGGTGCATTCTCAGCTCTGCCCCTTTTCCACTGGTCAAACCATGTTCTAGCAACATCCTTCAGCTGATACGCAGCTAGTTCAACCCGCTCAGTATCTGCCACATGCATCACATCAAAAATCTTCTTCAACTCCTCAATGAAATCCTCTGGATCCTCAGTAGTGCTCGAACCCATGAAACTCGGAGGATTCATCCCCAAGAACTCACGAATCCTAGAAGTGTCAGCTCCTTCCTGTCGAGCTCCCCTTTGCTGACCAATCTGATTAGCTACAGCTTGACTCAACATTCTAATTGCCTCTCTGAACTCGGCATTAGAAACTTCCCCTTGACCTTGCACTCCCGGTGCATAGGGTAACTCTTGCTCATCAACATAACGTCTAGGAAGACACCCTCTACCAACTCTTCGTGGAGGCATGGCTATCTGAAACACACTCAAGCACGGATTAGAAAGAAACTTTTTAGAGATCAACTCTAACGCATAAAATGAGTGTGAAAGAAATGAGAAATCTTCCTAAATGTTGCAGCCCCCCAATTATAGATGTGGCGCGCTTCACACCAATAACTAGGACTCTACAGACACTGCTTCATAGACTCCCTAGGACTCCTGAACTATGGGCTCTGATACCAAGTTTGTCACGCCCCGAGCCTACACCCTGGGCGGGACCGGCACCCGGAGACCATTTCTGGCCCCAAGCGAACCCTTGGCCTGGCTTTCTTAACTCAGTGGAAACCTCAACAGAATAACTCGATGCAATGCAATATTACAAACAACTTAACTTATAAAATATGGCCATAAAGGCAACTCGAATCTCAAAATAGAATATTTACATATATATATAGATAAGAGACTCAAAACTAACTGACTGACTGTCTGTCTATGAAGCCTCTAAAATACTGAGACGAATGTTAGGACAGACCCCGCAACATCCTAATAAAACAGAACTAAGAACACAAAAATAATTGAGTCCTCCGGAATGCAAGGAGGCTCACCACTGACTCTGGAGTGCTCCGCTGGATCAACGACGCACAGGATGCTGATCCGGGGTGTTGACACCCAATTTCGACCCTCCCGATGTAAATTAATCATCGAGCTTCTTCAATTTGAAACGATTTAAAATAATAAGTTTTAGAAAATTCCAAAAAAAAAAAAAATATGATGAAAATAGTTTGCAAGTTATTTTAAATAGTTTGTCACCTTTTATAATTTTTAGATAATATATATGTATTACATAATTATGTGTATAATTAGTATATTTTATGAATATTTGAAATTCACCTCAAAAAGTCTTAATTTTATTTGAATATTTGGTTTTAGTTTGGTTAATCAATAGTTTATATTTTTCGAGTTAATTAGTTTATAATTAAGTTAATTATTATATAATTATGTGTCTAATTAGTATATTTTATAAATATTTGAAAATCATATCAAAAGATTTTTATTTCTTTTTAGCTAAGGGTTTTACTAACTTGGTTTAATTTAAATCATAATTACGAGTTTGAATTAATTAGTTCATGTTTAAAGTAATTATATTATTATCAAGTTAATTATTTTATTTCGTCAAAATTAAGAAGCTCGTTAATTAATTAATACTAATCCATCTTTAACCTCCCCTTAAAACCATTTTAGGACCAAAATTTTGGGCCTTTTTCTTCAACTTTGCCAGCAAACCAACACAGCCCACCAAGAACTTTTTTTTTCCACTCCTATTTCCCAGCCCATATATAATACAATAATTAACAGCAATACAATGTTCCAACAACCCTTTTTCCAGACCCGACCCCAGACCCACGTTTCTTCTTCTTCTTTATCTTCAGCACCGACGCAGCAGCTCAGAGACGTCGACGACAATTCCAAGCAACGCGTGTACGCGCCTCACGCGAGGATGAACAGCAGTGAGTTCACGGAAATCATCACGGCATGAAGAGACGCGTGAATCGTTGCAATACGCATAGCCAGGCAACACTCTGTTTTTCTTTGTCTTCTTCTTCAGACGCCTTTTTCAGTTTGTACAATCGCAGTAGCAGCAGGGGCATGCGTTTTCTCCCCTTTCCTTTTTCGGAATGGGGCAGAAATTTCAGAAAAGGATGTCTATCCTTAATGGTGAAAGGAATTTTGGGGTTTTTGAATTTCGAAATGGGCTCGAAAATCAGCCCTTTCCCCCCATTTTTCCGAACCCTAGTTTATTCTATATATTCCCCCTATTCATGGTAGAGAAAAGAGAGAGAGGAGGAAGAGAGAAAAAAAAAGGGATTGAAAAATTTACAGAGGAGGAAAACTCTTAAGCTGCAAAGTTATTTCAAGAATACACTTAAAAACCTTTTCATTTTCCTTCTCCCTCGTTCGCTGGTTGCTGAAATTTACAGAGGTTCGTTAGAGTTCTTCTGTGGTCGTGGAAATTCGCCCCCCTGCTCGTCTCGTCTTAGCTCACTGCACTTTAAAAGGTAGACTTCGTTTCAATTTCGGCTCTTTAGTTGATGTGTTGTTCGATGAATTGAAGCTTGTTTGTTGATTTATTTATCTTCTTTTCTCGACTGCCTTTGTTCTTCTCGATTCATCGCTTATGTAGTAGCCGAGTGATTGAGTGGAGTAGGCGTCTTGGTCATTTGAGACATAAGGCGTGCTCTTGTAAATGTTGTTGTTCTCGTGAGTGTTAGAGGCAAAATCCTAAGCTAGTCGATGTGGAGTTCGTATGTTGCATCATTTGTTGTTTGTTGGAGGCAGTGGCCTGTCCTTCCTCCATCTTTTTTTTTTTTTTAGATCCTTAATATGTTAGTCTCATGATCATCTTGTTGCTAGACTTAGGTCTCATAAATATGCTAAAACATGTCTATCCTTTCCGGCATTCCTTCATTAATTTGTAGGCGCTAAAATCCTTTCATTGTTCAAGTCTGGAAATTATGTGAACTCCTTTCTTATCTTACCAATATTATTTTTGATTAATTTGTGCATGTTAAAGCATTTAGGTTCATTGTTTTATTTATTTTTTTATTTTTTTTCTTGCATCACATAAGTCATTTGCTATCTTAACTGCATGAGAGCATAAGGTATCCACCTTTACCTCATTATTTGGAAGTTCACTGTTGTTTAAGAAGGGAAAGATTGTTTATGTGTATTACTTTGTCAAGATAAGTCAAATGTTGCTTATAGCAAACTGTTTCTAGGATTTTAATTTATTTATTTTTCACAGCCTCATATGTTCCGTTTTGAAGTGTAGTTATATCGTTTCCATGGGATGAGAAGCATGTCTTGACCCATTTATTTTCTATTGCTTTTATCACTAGAATATATATTTGCCCTTTTTATTGTTTGTTGTTGGTTTACGATTGGGTGTGATAGGCTTATTCAAATCCACATGACCACTAGTTGATCATGGTTTAATTGTTTCAAAATTGGAAATTTTAGGATGGGCTATTAATTTATCTATTGTTAAAGCTTTGCATCTGCTCAATTCTAACTATAGGCTTAGTCGTTTAAGGTCATTAAAGTGTCATTCGTGTATGAATTTAAGGCCCTTGGTGGCACACATTATTTTTATCATAAATATTAAAATATGATAGTAGATAACTATAAAATATGGTAGTATAAACATTAGGACACGGCAATATATAGATTTAAAATGTAGTAGTATATAAATGTTAGATTACGGTAGTATATAATTGTTTAGAATATAGTAGTATATAAATATTAAAGTATGGTAGTATATGAATATTAGATTACGGTAGTATATAGATTTTAGAATATGGTAGTATAATAAATTTTAGAATATAGTAGTGTAATAAATATTAGTATATGGTAGTGTAGTAAATATTAGAATATAATAAATTCTCCTATATTACTCATAACTCTTACTTATTGATTCTCATTTTCGTGTTTGCATGTGAAATTTGTCCGGGGTCCTCACAGACTCTATCCTCGCATTTTCCTTTGGGCCACGGAGGCCTATATCCCCTCTTATCCGAGTCAGCTAGATATCAAAATCGACGAACAGGTCTCAAAATTGAAAGAAAAGCGGAGCAAATCGGGAGTTGAAAAAGATCGGGCCAAAGCCTACCTTTATTTATTCGGAATTGTATTTTGTTATTATTGGGCCTAAGCCCTCGCCATTCTAGTTGCTATTACTTGTTAGTTCTTAGGACAGGTGAAAATGGGGCCAAAGGCCCTAAACGAAAATGGGCCCAGGTACTGGCCCAGGCGGACAGATCCAGACTCGGGCCCAAACTTCCTTTCCTTATCTATTCAATTGCTATTATATGTTTTATTTGCTAAATTAATCTTAAGATTTTAAAAATTCAACTCCCCAAAGATAACCATTTTGAATTAACTATTTAAAATTAAGCAAACATTTTTCTACTAGACTTTTTCAAGAAAAATTTGCAAAATATTGTACTTAAATAATATTTTTAATATCCACTTTCTCCTTTAAGATCTTTTTAAGTATTAAAACTGTTTACCTCTTAATTAATTTAAGTATGCATGCCTTATTTTAAAATACTTTAGCCAAATAATTAATTGTCGGATAACCACATTAGTGGATATTCTAGGTGCCTTAAAACCTTCCTAGAATATTAATAGGAACCCCGAACCCCTTTTAAGATTTTCACTAGATTCCTGTTTTAATCTGTTGAAAATGAATAGTTTTCTTGATTTTCCTTAAAAATTAAGTGGCGACTCTTAAAACCAATCTTAAAAAATACATTTTCCAAAATAAAACACGGGGTACCTGAATCTGCATCATCAAACAATGCAGGCCAACTGGCATCAGTACATGGAATGTACGAGTATGCGAGCTGGAAAACTAAGCAACAAAGGCTAGAAGGAAAACTGGAAGGAACTGAATAGCTTACCTAGCTCAACTCAACTCAACCTGACTGACTTCTTTCAATATAAGGCAATTTAAAACAAGTGCGATATAAAGAAAGACTGTTTAAAACATGCTATGAACTCTGTGTGTATACAAAGATACGATAAGCCTGAAATGTATATAGAAATACAATGAACTGATGTATATAAAAATACAATAATCTCTGTGTATGAAAATACAATAACTGCTGTGGGAGCTTCTCTAACCGACAACCATCACATAAGAGCTATAGTGATGATACAGCGATCGACCTCACGCTGCCAAAGCATCTTATACCCGGCCAAAGGTATAAGACCTGAACTGCCTAATGGATCCACTAGTCTAATATGAAAAGGATTCATCTAAAAAGTATGATCATTTTCTACCCATGGTGGCTAACATGGTTCTATGGGGGCTGTGGGTTCTTTGAACGCTCCCCCAATTCGGTGCTCGATACTACTCCCAAAAATGTACTGGCTCTTATGTTTTTAAAACATATTTATTCCTGCTGATATGAGATAATTACTCAAAAACTAGCCCGAAGGCTTTTTTTGGAAATCTCAGCTTCCAACCTTGTTTAAATGTAAAGACATTTCTTTAAAACTTCTTTGGGAATACATAGTTCCCTAATAACTTTGAGAAATGAACTCAACTTTAAACTCTTTACTCTTTACTCTTTTACTTGACTTCTAACGTCACTTGACTTGGAACTATCTTTCCTTGAATCGGAATTATGAATTCAAGGTGTTCGATCACATGTTATGGAGGGATTCTTGAAGCTTAGACGTACTTTGGAGTGTCGGAAACAACTATAAAACATAGGTATAATACTTTGGAGCATGCATGAGAAAGTGGGAAAGAAATGGGGGAAACTTGGCTGAGACTTCAGATTTCTGGTGACACAGATGGCACTTACGGACGCCATCGACGGACCGTAGATAGACTCACGGTCCGTCCTGCAGGTCCGTAGATCACGTCAGAAACTTTCCCCGAATTCATTATAAAAAAAAGACTAAGTGTTGATCCATGGTCCGGACTTACGGTCCGTAGGTCGGGTTACGGACCGTGGGTCGTGCCCGTAGATCGATACCCCAAAAACCCAACTTCTGTCCCGTTTGATGGTTGGCCAGTACGGACCGTCAATCGATCTACGGTCCGTAGGTCACGTCCGTAGATGGGGATCGACAGCCAAAACTTGCTGAGAATTGATGGTGAATCAACTTTAAAAGAGTCATAACTCTTAGAATCGTAACTCCCTCAACATACCATAGGTTTCAACTTAAATACACAACCCAATCATGTCTCACAACGAACAATAACTTCAACAACACCACCAACAACATCAACAACAACTAACAACTTCAACACTTCAACAACAAATTCCAATCCTTTCTCAAATCATAGAATAAACTTAGTGTGTGTGAGGGAAAGGATCAACCCACACGAAAACTCACATACCTTGATAGGGATCACCCTCGACGAAAATCCACAATGATCTTGACAATTCTTGTTGATCTCCTCTTTCTTCTCTTCTTCTTCTTCTCCTTTTTCTCTTCTTCACTCTCAAGAACTCTAACTCCTTCTCTTAAAAAAAAATGGGACAAAAAGATCCAAAGATCAGCCTAATACAACAATGTAATCTCAAAGAAATAATTTGTGAAAAGACTAAAATGCCCTTAAATTTCCGGACGGATTTCCCTTCCAACTGCCCAACTTCTAAAGGGCATAACTCCCTCATACAAACTCGGAATCGAGCAAACTCGGTGGCGTTGGAAAGATCATTCCACAAGCTTTGAAACCATAGCTGGAACTACTCCTAAATCATCCTGAGCTAGGAGTTACGACTGCTCAAAGTTGGCCAAAAATCACTGATTTCCACACTTAGCCAAATTTCCAGATTATTTTTTTCAAAAATGACATTTTTTCCAAATTTCAAGCTTCCTCAAAGCCACTTCAAATTGTCGGATGTTACACAAAACTCCTGATGGTAATACCCACGATCCAACTATTTCCCCAGTAATAACACTTGAGTGCTTCGAGTTTTCTCAAGATGGACATATCAATGAGCCGATTAGGTGAATAGTACTTACAGAGAAAAGGTACACGAATGATCAATCTCTTTATATTGGGAATGCCAGAAAAGACTTCCTTTGTACAACTGTCGTAGCAGACATTAGAAAGTTCCTCTAGATTTTGCATCCCTGTCACAAGTCTTTCTATTCTAGGGCTAGGTAAATAAGAGGGTCCCTCCAGACGTATATATCTCAAGTTCTTCATCATCCATATCTTCCCAGGTAAAGAAGTATAACCATTACAAATTAGAGTTTGCAAATTCTGAAGCTCTGAGATTGACTCAGGCATATTGCCGTTAAATGGAAATTGGAGAAATCTCAAATGAAATAACTTTGTAATCACAAGTGGAAATGACGGGAACTCTGCATCTACATTTACATCTATATTGAAGATGACCAATACCCTGAGTAGGTTGAAACGAGAGAGAAATTCACCATGTTGTGTTGAAACGAGAAAAAAGCGGGGGATGGGCAAGATCCCGAGAAGCTTAATATGATTTGGAAAAGGTAGATTCAATTGAGAAATTAAGTATATAGATCTGGAAAAAGGGGGTAATAGTTTCCAACAATCATCATCTGAATAAAACTCAGTTTGAAAACTGAAACGACGAGCATTATGCTTTTGTGTTGGTAGAGTAGGGTGAGTTCTCTGAACATGCATATGGTTCGTCATTTCAGCTTCTATCAAACATAACTCACGCAGTAGATCATGTATTCCACATGCTTTTGTCTCACCATTAAATCTCCTTTTTCTAACCTGTATCAAGTTCCTGCTAATAAGGTCCTCCAAATAATCTATCGCCACTTCCTCCAAACTTCTACAATTTCCAGCAGACATCCTTATGAAACCTTCTGCAATCCATAATTGGATCAATATACAAGATTCAATCTGAAAATCCTCTGGGAAACCACTCATAGATAGAAAACAAGGTTTGAGGCGATTAGGCAAGTGGTGGTAACTCAAACCGAGCACTCCTAAGCATTTATCTGGATGACTAGCAATAATTTCACTTAAGTTTTGGGCAACATCCTTCCAACCTTCTAATGTCCTAGTCATTTTAGAAAGATGTCCCGCAATCACTAAAATTGTTAAGGGTAGTCCTTGGCATTTTCCTACTATTTCCTTTCCAATTTCTTCCAATTCAGGAGGATAATCATGTTTTGGTCCAAAAACCTTGTCACAAAGTAACTTCCAACCGTTAGCTAAACTCAAGAGGTTCATCTTATGAGGGATACTAGTATTTGCATATATCGCTACCTCAGTTTCCCTAGTAGTCAGTAAAATTCGACTTTTATTGTTGCAATCAGGAAATATTCCTCTTATACTATCCCAAACACCTGTACTCCAAATATCATCAACAACAACAAGGTATCTTCGATGCTTTAGGTTCTTCTGCACTAGGTCTGCTAACTCAGAGTCATCCATCTTATCATAATCTTTTGCGTTGACACGAATTGCTTGCTTTGAAATGCAACGTAAAGCTTCTAACAATACATTTCTAACTCTAAATTCTTGAGATATTGTAACCCAAGCAAGAATGTCAAAGTGATGATACCTGATTGCGAGATGATCATAAGCTTTCCTAGCGAGTGTTGTTTTGCCAATGCCACCCATGCCTGATATTGTGACAATCTCTAGATCCCGTGATCGTCCTGTCAACCTATTAATTATGATCTCCAAGTCATCATCAAGTCCGTGCACAATATCATCTTCCAACATTGGATAACTTGTAGAAGAAGTGTCAATCAAGGAATTCCCGGATAATTCAAGAAGTTGATCAGCATCATGAGAAAGAATCTCCATCACTTGTTTCTTTGTTGTATCCATTTTTTCAACAACTGGTAGCAAATCATGGTGTTGTAAAATTCCAAAGGTCCAGCTTAAGCTTGTGATGATTTGAGAAATTTTCATCTCAACAGCATCTTCTGCATAACTAACAGCAACTCTTATTTTTTCCTCCAAAGATTTGATCTTTTCATGGTCAAATCTACTACTCTTGCTAATATTTTCAAGGACATGTTGAAAATATTGAGCAGTAGCATGAAGAGGATCGAGCGTTTTGGCAGTGTGATCATGAAAGAGTTCTTGAATATTTCGTTGGTCAAGAGTTTGAAGAAGAGAAATTACAGCACTATAAGCTGCCATCAAGTCAAATTGCAAGAAGAGGAATTGGAATAAAAGAATTTTTGAAGTAGAGAGAGAGGATGTAATTTAAGATATCAAATAATCTTTTGTTATTATAGTAACTTGCTTTAATTAATCATGTTAGTTAGGTGTGTGAAATCAGTGGAGTAGGTATAATAGTGATGGAGAGATTTTAGTTAATTTAAAAGGCACCAACTATTGTTTATTTGTAGATAGAATTATAATGTGGTGTGTTTGAATTTTTTATCCCACATAGAGTGTATCAAAATTGACTAGCAGAATAAATAATCTTTGCTAGTTAACTTGAGACAACCAAATGTTAGTTGCATTGAGAAAGGAACATCAACAAATTCAATTAAAAAAAAGGAATTGACTCAACAACTATGGAACCTTCTCAGTTTGAGTTTCTATGAAATTTTTGGAATATTTACTTAGATAATTAGATTTGACTGTAGGATTTAACGCGTAATTACTCCAAATGTAAACAAATTCAGGAAATTACTCGAGTGAGAAGGTCACACGAGAGCATGGAACATAGGGTAACAAGATTGACTAACAGAATAAATAACCATTTCATGGAGAATGACCAAAAAAAATGCTAGATCGAGTCCAACTAGTGGCGCGTGGCCTGTGCGAAGTCCAGGTCAAAACCAACATTAATCAATGAACAAGCTTCTCGAATGTGGCAAAGACACTAGAAAACTTTACCTATATGAAAAAATAGAAGTGGTGCCGCTTCGATTGAGAGTTTGGAGTTGCCCTCATAAGTATGCCAATGAATTTCGGATAGCACTTGGACATAAAAGTGCTAAGAACGTTTGAGTGGAAAGCAAATGCTGTGGACTCAACACCTCGGCACACCTAGGATTGGACATCTGGAGTGTGGATAATATAGAAGATGGGGCCCCAATCATCAGGTAAACAATGATTTGCGAAGGGTTTGGCTCTGATACACGATAAGAAATGGACATTGAGCTAGTTTAAGAGTTAAGGATTGCTCAAGACCTTAACTCTCCATTGCTGAAACACTCCGTCATATGATAAAGAACATACCTCTCAGGCTGAAGGTGAAATTGAATTAAACATGTTTATTCCTAAAACATGAATTTAACCAAATTAATGATCAGAACATAGAAACAACGAAAGATTTTACTTTTCGAAGTATAAACTAAAAGGTTTTGTATTTGGAAGATGACATTAGATGGTGCCTTAAAATAAGCTTCATTCCCCTGCATATGCAAGATAAAAAGTACGAGTCATCATCTTAATTTCAAGGAAGTAAGATTTTAACAAAGATTAGAGAATCGAAGAACTTTTTAGAGAGATTTAAAACTTACTGCGATTATTATGGATGTAGACCTTAAGGATATTATTTCCCATGTCCTCTTGTTCTTGTTCAATCTCTCTTGCAGAATCCTCTGTGGTATTGCTGCAATCATGTAACTCAAATTATTCCAAAGTACCAATTTCCCTGAAATCTCCTGAAATTTTTTGCAGGTTGGTGCAATTCTTCAGAACAAGGTGTTTTAGATTTGGGAAGTTATCACTACTAGCTTCCAACGCTTAAGATTTAGGACATCCAATAACAGCAACTTCAAGCTTTTGAACTTATCTTCATCACTCTCTCTCCATATATCATCCCTAGCTTTACAATCTTTAAGTTTGAACTCTTCAAGATTTGGCAACATGATGAGAGTTGATGATATGTCTTCCCAAGGAAAAAGGTAACACCTACTTAAAGTCAACCTCTTAAGTGATGTTGGAAAAACAGAACTCTTGATGGAGATACACATTGTCCAACTATGTTGCCAGTAATAACACTTGAATGCTTTGAGTTTTCTCAAAATGGATATATCCATGACTTCATTGGGTAAATACTCGTCAAAGAGTAAAGGTACTTGAATGATCAATCTCATTAGATCGGGAATGCCAGAAAATACTTCATTTGTACAACTGGTGCAAGAAAGACCAGAAAATTCCTCTAGATTTGGCATCCTTGTCACAAGATGCTTATTTAGAATACTTTCTCTTCTAGGGCTGGGTAAAGAAGTGGCTGCCCATAGACGTATATACCTTAAGTTCTGCATCGTCCATATCTTCACAGGTAAACTTATAGACTCGAGAGAATAACCACTACAAATTAGAGTTTGCAAATTCTGAAGCTCTGCGATTGATTTAGGAATATTTCCATCAAATGGAACTTGGAGATATCTCAAATGAAACAACTTTGTAATCACAAGTGGAAATGATGAGAACATTAAAACTTTACTGAAAATTACCAATACCCTGAGAAGGTTGAAACGAGAGAAAAATTCAGGTATTATATTAGGATCACAATGGTAGCTGGGAATTCTCCAGAAAATGTTAATACGGGGATCAAGAGGTAGATTCAATAGAGAAAATAAGTAGATAGATCTGGCAACAGGGATCAATAACTTATAAAAATCCTCAACTGAATAAGATTTGGTCTGAAAACTGAAGCGACGAACATTATGCTTTTGTGTTGGAAGAGTAGGGTAAGTTCTCTCAACATGCATATGCTTTGTCATTTCAGCTTCTATCAAACAGAACTCACGCAGTATATCATGTATTCCACATGTTTTTATCTCACCATTCAATCTCCTTTTTCTGACCATTATCAAGTTCCTACTAATAAGGTCCTCCAAATAATCCATTGCCACTTCCTCCAAACTTTTACCATTTTCGGAACTCCTTATGAAACCTTCTGCAATCCATAAGTAGATCAATCTTTGAGTCTCAACCTGAAAATCCTCTGGGAAACTACTCATAGAAAGAAAGTAAGCTTTGAGTTGATTAGGCAAGTGGTGGTAACTCAAACTGAGCACTGCTAAGCATTTATCTGGATGACTAGAAATGACTTTGCTTAAGGTTCGGACAACATCGTTCCAACTTTCTAATGTCCTGTCCATTTTAGAGATATGTCCCGCAATCATTGAAATTGTTAAGATGGTCCTTGGCATTTGTTTACTATACTAGTTTAGTACCTAATCACCTCCCTTCTCTTCACTTTTCATTATTACAAAACTTACCTGAATTTGGATTCAGATATATGTATATGGCACGTCAAGATACATGTATAATTTTGACCCAGTATTCAAGATACATGTATCCAAGTGGAATCACATGTATCTGACTCTCTTGCTCACCTCTCTCCTATCTTTCTTGCCTCTCCCCTGTATCGATATCCCTGATACGTATATATAGTGTGATTCGCATGTATATGGGATACGTACACTGTCTCGCTCGTGTCTCTCCCTATTTTAGTGTATCTGGTAGCAAAACATGTATCTAGGTGTATCTAACTTGAAATCTAATATGAAATTATTAATTAATGAGATAGTATATAATTATTTTAAACTATAAGGAGAAATAATAAATATGGTGGGAATGTTTGTCTAATTAAATGATTTTTCTGGAAAAAGAATAATCAAAATATAACTTGAAAATTATATTTTTTGTGACAATTTTTGTGTGACTAAATTTAGGTTAAATAGAGACAGTAATATATTGTCACTAATAATTCAATCTATTAATGACAAAAAAAAAGGTCATGACTAAATATAAATTTTTGTGGTTAAAATTTATAATGATTAACTACAAATTGTAATTTGTCACGATTGTATCAACATATTTTTTGTGACAAAAAATTTTCGTGTCCAAAATTTAATTAAATTTAGAATGAAATAATTTGTCACAAATTGAGTATTATCATTTAGTGATAAAATAATGTGTCACTAATAACTTTAAAACTGCTAGCTAATAACATTCAATAAATGGCGTCAATTCTAATGAGACTGACCAACAAACTCTATTAGCTTTATAAATCTTATTACAAGTCCCACTCATTTTTTGGCCAATAATTGGACTAAAAATACTTCTTTTTGCTCTTGGTTTGGTGTCACTTGCACTCCAAAAAGGCAAAGGGTTGTGGCCTTGGCTCTTCCTAATTTGCAACTTCAAGGCACAATTTCCCCGTCTTTGGGCAATTTGTCCTTCCTCAGTGTTCTCAATCTCCAGAACAACAGCTTCCGCGGTGGCATCCCTTATGAACTTGGCCACTTGCCTCGCTTGCGAGTTATTGATATTCAAAACAATCAGCTCAACGGATGTATACCAACAAGTCTATTTCAAAACCGGAGAGTTCAAGTAATTTCATTGGCTTTCAATGAACTCAGCGATGAAATGTGGAGAGGGCGATGGTATGTACCCAAACTCAGAGTCTTAAATCTCAGGAACAATAGTCTCACGGGTATAATCCCTCCTTATGTTGGAAATGCCTCAAAATTGATGAACTTCGATTTGTCTGGTAACAGAGTTAGCGGCAACATTCCAAAAGAGATCGGTAATCTGAGCCAACTTACAGAGTTGTATTTGTATGACAATCAATTAACAGGTTTCATTCCCACAACATTGTTTAATATTTCGTCACTTCTTGTCTTATCTCTTGGAATCAATAGGCTTTCCGGTCCTCTCTTGCTTGGTGAAGGGAACATTGTCTCAAATATGAACGTTTTAAGTATATCTCTCAATCAAATTTCTGGTTGCATTCCTTCCAACTTATGCCAACTCACAGAGCTCAAAGTTTTGTCCATATCTTTCAACAATATAACTGGAGACATACCCAGAAATATTGATTGTTTATCCAAACTCGAGATGCTTTTTATTGGTGATAATCCAATAAAAGGGACTATTCCCACTTCATTGGGAAATATTTCCACTCTGCATAATCTTTACTGTCGAAACAATCGCATAGTGGGGGAAATTCCTCCGGAATTAGGGAAGCTATCAAATTTGAGGGAATTAATCTTTTCCCATAATTATAATCTTATGGGTAAAATTCCAGAGGCTATTTTCAACATATCTTCTTTGGAAGTGATTTCTTTCCATGAAAACAACCTCTCGGGGAGAATTCCAACCACTACAGGTCTTCATCTTCCAAACCTTAAAATACTTTCCATGGGAGTCAATCAGCTGGAAGGGGAAATTCCATTGTTCATAACAAATGCTTCCAAGCTTGAGAGACTGGAGCTAAATAATAACTTTCTGACAGGAACTATTCCTACTAATTTGGGAAATCTTCGTGAACTGCAAATACTGCTCCTACATACTAATCAACTTACCAATGAACCAAGAGTGGCATGAGTTGCGATTCTTCATTTCTTTGGCGGACTGTAAGATGATGCGATATCTGCAAGTGGGTTCCAATTCGTTGAATGGCATTCTGCCCAATTCTATTGGGAATCTTTCATCTACTATTGAAAGCTTTATATAGGAGATGCACACATCAACGGCCTCATCCCCACAAGTATAGGCAACATGAGCGGTCTTACCGCCATAGACATTGAAGAAAACAACTTGATAGGGAGTATTCCTTCTGATGTTGGTAAGCTTAAACAACTCCAAGGGCTCTATCAATTTAACAATAAATTGCAAGGACATATTCCTGAGGCGGTATGCCATTTATCTAATTTAGACATATTATCTCTAGAAGGTAATGAGCTCTCTGGATTAATTCCAGAATGTTTAGGAAATCTTAGCATGCTTCAAAACCTTTACTTGGGTTCTAATAAATTTCATCAAAATTTCCATTGAGCCTTTGGAAAATGAGTGGTCTTCTCTTACTAGACGTGTCACAAAATTGTATAGAGGGAGAAGTTCCATCAGATGTTGGAGGACTTAAGGCCATTGTAGAACTATATCTTTACAATAACCACTTTTCAGGCATGATACCAACCAGATTGGGGGAACTCCAAAACCTGCAGTCTCTTGACCTATCAAACAATTCATTTTTTGGACAAATTCCATTATCCTTTGATAACTTTTGATAAGCTTAGAATACTTGGATTTGTCTTTAAATGCATTGTCCGGTACTATTCCTAAGTCTTTGGAAAAACTCTTATCCCTTAAAAGCATTAATGTTTCATTTAATGGGTTCAAAGGTGAATTACCCACTGGCGGTGTGTTTGCAAATTCCACTCTGCAATCATTTCTCGGGAACAAAGGTCTATGTGGAGTGCACATATTGGACATTCCTGCTTGTGCTAGCACTAATCCTGGCAACAATCAAGGCTTAAGGAGGTTCTGCTAAAAAATGTAACTCCAGTGGTTATATCATCCTTTCTGATATTCTTGTTGTTTTCAATTTGGATAATGAAACGACACAAGAAAGGAAAGTCCAAAGATGTTGAACAGGTACCGGAGATCAAAACTCATCAATTAGTTTCTTATCACGAGATTCAGCGAGCAACAAATAATTTTGATGATGAATCAAATTTAATTGGTGAGGGAAGCTCTGGCTCTGTGTACAAAGGCATTTTATCTAGTGGAACTGTAGTGGCCATAAAGGTTCTGGATTTGGAAAATGAGCAAGTATGCAAGAGGTTTGATACCGAATGTGAAGTGATGAGAAATGTTAGACACAGAAATCTTGTTCCAGTGATTACAACATGTTCAAGTGACTATATAAGAGCCTTTGTTCTGCAATTTATGCCCAATGGAAGTCTTGAGAATTGGTTGTACAAAGAAGATCGCCACTTGAACCTTCATCAAAGAGTCACAGTAATGCTTGATGCAGCTATGGCAATTGAATATCTACATCATCGTCATGTCACTCCAATAGTTCATTGCGATCTAAAGCCAGCCAACGTTCTTTTGGATGAAGATATGGTGGGTCATGTTGGTGATTTTGGAATCTCTAAAATTTTAGCCATAAACAAGTCCATGGCTTATACGGAGACATTGGGCACTCTTGGGTACATTGCACCAGGTATAAAAAAATCTACTCTCTTTGATTTTCTCTTATATCATAATTAAGCCTCTCTAAGGTCTAAAAGTAAAAAAAAGCAAGTCTTCATTTATGCAGAATTATTGTTGTATTTCAATTGAGTAACTTTTCTTCATTCCTTTTCTAAGAATATGGCTCGGAGGGAATAGTGTCCACTAGTGGTGATGTTTATAGCTATGGCATCATGTTGATGGAGGTTTTGACGAAAAGAAGGCCAACAGATGAAGAGATATGCAATGAAAATCTTGACTTGAGGAAATGGATAACACAATCATTTTCAGGGAGTATGATGGACGTTGTGGATGCCAATCTTTTTTCTGAGGAAGAACAAATCACTTGTAAAATTGAAATATGCATAGCCTCCATGATAGAATTGGGTTTAGACTGCACAAAGGAAATGGCAGAATCAAGAATAACCATGAAAGAAGTAGTGAAGAGGCTTAACAAAATCAACAACACATTTATGGAAACATAGAAGTGATCAGCATCGATCTCTTCCGGTGGTGTTCTTTCTGAGCTGCAAGTTAACATGTTGCTTTTCGTTTTCCTGGTTTCTTTAGTCGTTCGTACTACCTGGAGACATGTACTGTTTGTACTTGAGACATTTTGTGATTTGAGATTTGAGTACTGGTTTCTTTAGTCATTCGTTCACTTTCTTAATTTGTAGCTATGTTTTGAATGCTTGAATAAACCAGAATGTGATGGAGCTGGAAAATGTGAACCTGTTTCACTTTCTTACAATTAATTTCAGAATGCAAATTGCAAAACAATTCCTACTCTATTTGTTTTGAAGGAGGATGGAGTCGGATAATGTGATGCTTCGTATTATAGAAGTTTGATTGGAAGTCTCTTGTACTTGACGACTTCAGGACTTGATTTAATGATGCTAGTTTACCTTCAAGATTTATGCAAAAGTCGCGACGACATTCATTTTGCAGCTGCTATATTCAGGTAAGTGTGAGGCTTCTGCTATATTCATGAGTTAATTGAGAAAAAAATAATCAAACAATCTCATTGAAATAGCACCCTGATATCATAGTTATAGGTTGAAAATATGTTTTAGATGTTTTTTTTCCAATCCATGTATATATGCTACAGATATATGATCATTCATTTATAGGTTGAATAACACTTTGATCGCTAGAAATGTCTTAAATTCCTTTCTATTTTTATCCGTAGGATTTTTTATAAACAGTGTCACATTTATATAAGCGAGCAATAAACATCTCTATTATAACTTTACTAAGCTTAGTATGAGTATAGGCTCATCGCCCATTGGTTATTATGGTTGAGTTTCAAGCTAAAATATGTTTAGCAAAAAAGACAAAGATATAATGGTAAAAAACACATTTGAAGTAAAATCACATAATTTCTTTTAAAATTGTATTTGAGTTACAACAAAAATATGAAAAGTAAAATAATGGAAAAAGGTAGAAGTACCTCCCTAGACAATGACCCAAATCCCAGAGACACACATTAACTAAATTAAGGTTCTATTACCCCCTGAATTCATTTTTTTTTTTGTAATTTTATACACCTTTTTGGCTTACGTGGCATCCAAATATATCTCACGCTCCTCAAATGCGTGGAGTCACGGGGTGTGCCACATAAGCCAAAAGGTGTACAATATTATATATAAAATGAGTTCAGGGGGTAATAGGACCTTAGTTTAGTTAAGGTGTGTCTCTGAGATTTTGATCATAGTCTAGGGGGGTACTTGTGTCCTCCCTAAAATAATAAATGTTTATAGTGTATAGTTAACTCATAAGAAGAAACTCTTTTGAATTTAGTCCTCCCCTTATTATGATTTCGATATATAAATTTTATATTTATTTTAAAAGACAAAATAAAGTAGCAAAAACAAACACAATACCTTATGATTAACTTAAAATGTCTCTCTTGTCTCATAGAATAGAGTAAAAATGTTAAAATTAAATTAATAGTTACACATTTCAAGAAGATAAAATATTTTAACATTAATTAGTAGAAGATGAAATTCTCCTTCTCATCAAGAGGAATGCAATTAAGTAATTCAAATTTATAATTAAGAAAACTTAATTAGAAGGAAATAACTAAAGAATTAAAGTGCAACCGTTGGTATTTAAATTTTGTCATTATATAATTAAAATATTAATAATTAATTAAATAAAGCAAATTTTAATTTAGTTGAGAGCCAAAATGACAATATTAATATTTTTACAATTAAAAGTTTGTTAAAATATATTTTATGTTTTTTTGTTAAAAATATAATAGGAGCAATATTTGGTCGGAGGTTAAAAGATCTTCTAACTTCATACGCATTTTGGTGTAGCATTTTATTGACTTTGGAATTTGGATCTCATGATAATTTTAATAAAAGTTGTCTTAAAAAATATAGATTTTATCCACAAGCACATATAAGAATAATTCTTTACAAATATTTAAAATTAAAGGTGGAAAAAAATGTATTATTAATAATTTGAAATTAGAATATCTTGTAGGCGTTAATTGTCTGTTTTAACATGCCTTATAGACTATTATCATGATCCTATTTGTTTTATTTTCTATAAGAAAAATACACCCTTCAATCATATACATTCTTAAAATGAAATTACAAATACAAAGAAAAAAAATATCACAGGAGCAAGCTTAGCATAAAGGGTACCAACGAAAATAGAAAAAATCTAAGAAAATCTCTTTTTATTGATAATGCAAATTGAAACAAAGCTCTAGTAATAAACATTCAACCTTTGACCATAACAAAAGAGTTAAAAATCTTGAAAGACAAGTTAACGGAAGTGACATTCAACTATATACATAAATGGAGGGGTCTTATCATAGTTCTAATATCTGCAAAAAAAAATAAAAAATACATCAAGCTCTGATATTCTAGTAATTGAAGTGTTATTGATCCATATAATCACATTATGCCTTGTAATTTTGACACAAATCCTCTTGTCTAGAAATTTTCTTCACTTGATTAAAGTTTCTCTAATCTTCCACACACAAAAATTGTATCACATATAAAATTTATATGGAAATACTATTGAAAGATTTATATTTATAGGAAAAAATATAGCTTTAGAATATGAAGATTCACTTACAAAGTTGAAAGGTCAAGAGGTGTGTAAAATCTCGCAACTTGAAATAGCTAGAAAGAAGCTAAGAACTTGAAATAATCATTTTTGGAAAGTACAAGGAAATCTGGAAATTTTTAAGCCAGTTAAAGTTGAGATTTTGGTCAACTTCAATCGACTATAACTCCTAGCTCAGGATGATTTAGGTGTATTTCCAGAGATGGTTGGAAAGCTCTTGGATTTATATTTTCAACGCCGCCGAGTTTGCACAATTCCGAGTTCGTATGAGTGAGTTACGTCCT